CTCAAGCCCCAACTTTTCCACCTGGTGCTTCTGGCACATGGGACTGAGAAAACAACACGGTAACACAAAGGGAGCTTGTGAATGGGGCTCTTCTGTGGAGGTGCAGGCATCCAAACACCAGCCTCTGCACTGTAAATATTTGAAGTGGATGGTAAATCTCCCAGAGATAAATTCATCTGGTATTTGGTTAAGAGTTCCTGCTGCTTTAAACATCTAATGATTCAGCAGATCTCAGAGTACTTGTCAAATATGCTTTTAGGTGCAATAAAGAGAAACAAATGGGCTCCAGGGGAAGCTCTGCTGAAGGAAACTCAGCTTCACCCACCCCAGATGGGGGCACCAAGGAATAACCTTGTACTGAAAAGCCACGGAAACCTCTCCTGAAACCTGCAGCCAACAAACAAGTCCCTCTCCTTTGGCTCTGGGACAGGAGGCCCAAAGTCCCTAGGATGGGTAACTCAGGGCAGAGCATTTTGTCAGTCTTTTAAGCCCACATGGTACCACGTGGAGCCTTCAACCCTCCCGGAGTCTCCATCTCTTGAGAGTTACAAAACCCAAGAATTTATCTTCACTTTCCACCCACAATATCGATTGCTTTGAATTTTACTGCCTTTTTTTTCTTTTCCCCCTCAAATTCCCTCCCCCTGTTTCACCTGAAGTTCTATTTTGTGCTGGATAAATTCCTGAACCCCAGCAGCAGGACACCAACAGGACATGGGCACAGAAGAGGCAATTGCTTCATCTTGCTTAATTATAATTTCACCACACAACTTCACACTTGAGGAAATTACAGAGCTGCAGCCCCACAAGTGGGCAGACCTGTCTGAAGAAGACAACACCATGTCTGGAGTCTGGCATAAGGGATCAGCCCTCGTGGGACACCAGGATCAGCAGAACCTGGCCAGGTGCCCCACTCAACTACCTGATGTTTCTTGAGGCCTTTGCAACAAATGACAGGACATCAGAGAAGCTCCCTAGCCCCGGGATGGCAGAACCTGCACCTGCTTCATGTGGCAGAGGAACCTCAATTGGTGCCTGTGCTGGACTCCTGACCAAAGGAGCTGTCTCTGGCTTTAGGAGTCTGCAGGCAGCAGTTCTGGGGCTCTAATCCAGGCTGATTTGATTTTAATGCCTTTAAAGCTGAGGTGAATGGAAAGTGTTTTTAAGAGAGAAGAAAAACCCTTGTCAAGAGGGAAGACAAAGACTTTAAACCCTGCTCCTGTGCCACATCCTTGTGCCAGCAGCTCCTTCCTCTCAGCAGGGAGGGCATGGAGATGCTGGGAGGGCTGGAGCAGCTCTGGAGCCAGGCTGGGAGAGTTGGGGTGTTCAGCCTGGAGAAGAGAAGGCTCCAGGGAGAGCTGAGAGCAGCTTCCAGTGCCTGAAGGGGCTCCAGGAAAGCTGGGGAGGGGCTTGGGACAAGGGCAGGGAGGGATGGGAGCAGGGGGAAGGGTTTCCAGCTGGCAGAGGGAGCTGGAGCTGAGATGGGAGGGAGAAATTCTGGGCTGTGAGGGTGGGGAGAGCCTGGCCCAGGTTGCCCAGGGAAGCTGTGGCTGCCCCATCCCTGGGGGTGTTGAAGGGCAGGTTGGATGGGGCTTGGAGCAGCCTGGGCTGCTGGGAGGTGTCCCTGCCCATGCAGGGGTGGGACTGGGTGGGCTTTAAGATCCCTTCTCACCCAAACCAGTCCCTGATACTATGAACAACAGAGATAACAGGAGACCACCTCCACTGGCCTTCCAGAAAGAGCTCCTACAGGAGGGTAGCTGAGCTGCTCCACCTGTCACTGCTTCTGCAGCTGAAAAGGTCACCAAGGACTTCATGAATGGCCTGTTGCAAAAGGCTGCTGAAAAAGTCTCCTTCTCAACCTCTTCCTCAAGGAACCACTTTCAGATAAACAACTTCTCAGCTTCACAGCAGCACAAACAGGAGACAAATCCATTCAGTTACCCAAAAAACAGGCACTATCACCCCCTCAGAAGCCTGGATTCCCTCCTTCAGCTGAAGCTCCAGGACAAGTTCCCCTGCTCAGGTACCCGACAGACAGACCCAGGACCTCCCAGCCCTCACTGATGTGCAACAACCTGGCTGGGATGGTTCACTGCCCACTTTCATCTGGGTGACCCAGGAGGGGCAGGTTCCTGGGCCACCAGAGCTGCCTGGTGACACGGAACGAGCAGCTGGAACGGTCGTGAATCTCAATCCATCACAGCTCATTTACTTTGCCATTTGCAGCTCCCAAGAACTGCCTGAAAACTCCCCCTCCAAAGCACAGGAGCTCCTGGGATCCAGCTCTTGTTGGATCAGCAGCAACCACAGCACTTGCCCCCTGTCTCCTCCACCCCTGTCCCTCACCACTGGCCACCCAAAAGCTGCTCCTGCAGCACAGGCCCAGGACAAACACAACAATCAGCACAAACCAAACTCTGCCTCAAGGGAAAGATCCTTTTCAAATTCTGGAAGCACAAATGACTGCTTGTGAAACCCAGGCTTCTCATTCCCTGAGCTTAGAGCTCTGCCAAACCTCCTCAGGCTGTCTTGGTTTGCTCTCTGTGGCCACTTTGCCCAGGATTTGCCTCCCTGCACCTTTCCCCAGGGATTTGGACACAGGCTGAGAACAGGGGAACTCTGCACCCACAGAGGGACTTGTAAAACCAAACTAACTTGCAGCAGTAATGGAAGGTGCATAATCCCCTGCCCTGGGCCAAGGGCTGGGCAGCCTGGACAGGGAAGGCTGGGAAAAGCCAAAACACCTGAACCTCTCCTGGAGACTGTTGGGAGATCTGTGTCCCAAAGAGTCAATTATAGAATCTCAGACTGGTTTGGGTTGGAAGAGACCTGAAGGACCATCCAGTCCCAATCCCCTGCCATGGGCAGGGACACCTCCCACCAGCCCAGGCTGCTCCAGCCCCATCCAACCTGCCCTTGGGACACTCCCAGTAAAAAATCTCCCTGTGTCCTGCAGCAGACAGGGGGTTCAGCAACCTGCAGACCTGTCACACACACACCCTCCCAAATTTGTCTCTATTCTTTGTAATCCACTGCTCATGAGCTGCCTCCTGCCACTGTTCCTGGACACACTGAGTTACCCTGCAGAAGGGCTCCTGACAGTTTGTTCAGTGCTGCATCTGAACCCACGTGTCAACGTCCTGTGTTTTTAGACCTGGACTAAGTACAAAAGCTCCTCTTTTCACCTCCTATGGATTTTAATTTAATATGTAAACAACTGCAGTTCACAAATGGAATACTTTTGGTTGGAAAAGACCTCCAGGATCCTCCAGCCCAACCTGTTCCCCCAGCCCTGCCCAGGCCACCCCTGCCCCGTGTCCCTCAGCACCATCTCCAGGGCTTGGAAACCCCTCCAGGGATGGGGACTCCCTCCCTGCCCTGGGCAGCCTGGGCCAGGCCCTGACAACCCTTGCCAGGGAGAAATTGTTCCCCAGATCCAACCTCAACCTCCCCTGGCACAACTTGAGGCCGTTCCCTCTTGTCCTGTCGCTTGTTCCTGGGGAGCAGAGCCCGACCCCCCTGGCTCCAACCTCCTCTCAGCAGCTGCAGAGCCAGCAGGTCTCCCCTCAGCCTCCTTTGCTCCAGGCTGGACACCCCCAGCTCCCTCAGCTGCTCCTCACAAGTGCAGGTTCATCCACCCCATCTATCCCAGCACTGAACAGCAGCAGATGTTTAAAAAAGCCACGTGAAGACCAGAGGAAGCACAAAGCAGAGGCTCTGAAGGTGCAAACCTCCAGGCAGCAGCAATGGAAGCTGTGGGAGCTCCTGAGCCAGAATTTGCTCCCAGACTGTTGCAGCTCCACCATGGGAAAAACCACTCATCCATCTTCACTTGAAACCTCCTGCAGGAGGGAGGTGATACCAGGAGCAGGGCAGGAGCCTGTGGGGGCTCAGGCAACACAACCTGCCCTCAACATCCATCTCCTCAGGCCCTTTGATCAGGGAAGGTTTCTGTTCACCTTACGAAAGCTCTAAAGCTCATGAGAAAGAGGTGAGTAAGAGGGAGATAAAAAAAAGTACCTTTAATCTAGAGGAGACCTGAACCAATGCAAAAGCAGCACCAGGAGCAGCTCTGAGATAAACATCAGAGGCCTCCTGAGATCCCGCCAACAGATGCATGTGATCAACATCAAAGGAACCCAGTCCTTCCTTCTCATCGGCCTAAATGCCTTCCCATCCAGCTCACATTGTCATTTTCCTCCTCCAGAAGTGGGTGATCTGCATCCAGTCACCAACAGAGCCCCGGGCAGGCAGGGTGGCTGCTGCCAGCAGCTGGAAACCTCCCCAGGGGGCTCAGCACCTCCAGGAAGGATGGGAGGGTTGAGAGGGATGGAAGCCAGGCTGGGAGAGTTGGGGTGTTCAGCCTGGAGAAGAGACCTTAGAGCAGCTTCCAGTGCCTGAAGGGGCTCCAGGAAAGCTGGGGAGGGGCTTGGGACAAGGGCAGGGAGGGATGGGAGCAGGGGGAAGGGTTTCCAGCTGGCAGAGGGAGCTGGAGCTGAGATGGGAGGGAGAAATTCTGGGCTGTGAGGGTGGGGAGAGCCTGGCCCAGGTTGCCCAGGGAAGCTGTGGCTGCCCCATCCCTGAGGGGGTTGAAGGGCAGGTTGGATGGGGCTTGGAGCAGCCTGGGCTGCTGGGAGGTGTCCCTGCCCATGCAGGGGGGGACTGGGTGGGATTTAAGGTCCCTTCCTACCCAACCATTCCATGATTTTCACATTCTATGGTTTTACTCTAGGGACACAGGAGATCCCAGCCAGCCAGGGGGTCCCACTGCAGCAGCCTATCAGATGGAAACCCAAGCTCAGCAAGCAAGATCCCTCCAGGCTATGAAGCTGCCCTAATAAATCCAGAGACAACCTGCTCCTGGATCCAGAAGAATTATCCCAAGGATGGTTTATGTAGGTGAGGCCGTGCAGGGCCAAGTTTGGTTCCCACAGCTCTGTCTCTCAACACTGATCCTCTCGATAAAGAGCCAAAGGACTCTGAGTGTTGGCACTTACAGAGAGGAGGCCCAAAGAGCACCGTGTCCAGTGCCTTCAGCTGCAGCTTCTGCCTGTGGCTTCGGTCTGTCATCTTCAGAACACTCCCCATCATGGTCACGTTGTTCACTGCGAGCCTGTCAGCAACAATCAGGAGTGAAAAAAGAAGCAGGAGGAATGGTCACATCCACCTGGCCCAGTAACTGACCCAACACTGGGAACGTGGAGCCTATGGGAAGAGAAATGCAACAGGCAGGACCTGAAAGCTCCCAGCTTGGGCTGTCAGGACAGAGGAAGTCCCTCAAAGATTGTCACCTCTGGCACTGGGTATCTCCTTGAAGGAGCTCAGCAGTGGTGTCTTTGGTTTTCCTTGGAGACAGCAGGAAAAAACAAGGCCATCTATTTCACTGAGGCAGACTGGTGGTGTTGGAAGGGAGCTCTGGAGATCATCCATCCAACCCCCTGGGTAACCCTTCAGCTGGGAGCTTCAAGGCTGCTTAGATGCAGCCTGGGAAGCCAAGATGCTGGGGGGGCTGAACGAGGGGGGAGAAGCTCCAGGGCTGGGCTGGGTTAGGGAGGAGGCTGTGGCAGAGCCAGGACACAGCCCAGCTCTGCCCCAGGGCAGGGCTTTAGCTCTACATAGGCAGCTTCAGGCACAGGCAGGTGAAGTCCAACAGCCCATGAGGGTGGCAGAGCCTTGGGACAGGCTGAGCAAGAGGTTGTGGAGCCTCCTTCTTCAGAGACATTCAAAACCTGCCTGGACATGACCCTGTGCCACCTGCTCTGTGGGATACAGCCTGGGCAGGGGAATTGGTCTGATGATCTCCAGAGGTCCCTTCCAACCCCCATGCTGGGACTGTGTGATACAGACCAGCAGGGATGGTACTAATGACCACATGGCTTCTACATGGACCTGTAGCAATAAGACAAGGGGTGATGGTTTTAAACTGGAAGAGGGGAGGTGCAGGTCAGGCATTAGGAAGATATTCTTGCTGTGAGGGTGGGGAGAGCCTGGCCCAGGTTGCCCAGGGAAGCTGTGGCTGCCCCATCCCTGGCAGTGTTGAAGGGCAGGTTGGATGGGGCTTGGAGCAGCCTGGGCTGCTGGGAGGTGTCCCTGCCCATGCAGGGGTGGGACCGGGTGGGATTTAAGGTCTTTTTCAACCCAAACCACTCCATAACTCTATGATGATTCTATGACTGGGTTGGCAGCTTCTCCCTCCTCCCCATGCAGACACTCTCACTCAGGCCAAGTCCCTCCCTGCACAGAGGGCCAGAGCAGGGCCAGAGGCTCCCGAGGTCCCCCAGGCAGGAACTGGCCCTGGCTCTGCTCACACCAAGGAACTGCCCCCCATGTTACGAGTCACCTCGGACCCGGGGTGTTCCCTGGCACACCCCAGAGGAACAGAGGGCAGTGCAGGGACACTGACCTGGGCATGGCATGGCCACTCAGCTGCAGCTTTCGGAAGGTCTCCTCGTACTGCGGCAGCTCCACGTAGCTGATGAGCCACTGAACCACCTCGTCCACCGTCCAGTTATACACTGCAGGAGGCAGGAAACAACCAGAGCAGCTGAGTGGTTTCACCAAGCAACTAACATCATGGAGAGAGAAACAAGAGCAGAACTTCACCAGACACACCTCGTCCTACCACCTTCAGCAAAGGGAAATTACCTGCAGAGTTTAAACGTGTTCTTGTTAAGTGTGAAGTGACTGGGAGGGGACATGAAATCCTGGGGAGCAACAGGGAGATGGTGCTGGGCTGGAGCAGCTCTGCTCTGGAGCCAGGCTGGGAGAGCTGGGGTGTTCAGCCTGGAGAAGAGAAGGCTCCAGGGAGACCTGAGAGCAGCTTCCAGGGCCTGAAGGGGCTCCAGGAAAGCTGGGGAGGGGCTTGGGACAAGGGCAGGGAGGGATGGGAGCAGGGGGAAGGGTTTCCAGCTGGCAGAGGGAGCTGGAGCTGAGATGGGAGGGAGAAATTCTGGGCTGTGAGGGTGGGGAGAGCCTGGCCCAGGTTGCCCAGGGAAGCTGTGGCTGCCCCATCCCTGGCAGTGTTGAAGGGCAGGTTGGATGGGGCTTGGAGCAGCCTGGGCTGCTGGGAGGTGTCCCTGCCCATGCAGGGGTGGGACTGGAGGAGCTTTGAGGTCCCTCCCACCCAAACCAGTCAGGGATTCCAGGATTAGGCAAGAACTCATCCCCCTGGGACACTCCAGGCAATCCCACAGGTGGTGGTTGCTGGGTGATGACCATTGCTCAGCTGCTCCTCACACCTGGGGCTGCCAGATGTTCCACTCACAGACACCACCAAGCACACTGTGCACCAGGCCTGGTGCTGCCCCAGCAGAGCCTCTGAGAACAAAACGTTTCAGGGTGGTTGATCTGACATGGTGCTTCCAGCTCCCAAACATGCAAGGAGGCCATCAGATAGAGCAGCAGCCCCAGGCAGCACTGGCCCAGGTGAGGCTGCCCTGGCTCTGCTGCAGTGTCACCAGGAGCACCCACGGGAGAGGCTACACCCAAGGTGCTGGCAGCCCTGAAGTGAAATCACTTTGTCCCCAGGAGATGCTGCTGTCTCCAAACTCCCCACTAAGCACCTTCACCCCCACCACATCCCCAACCCCCTGCCACGCTGACCTCAGCCATCACAGCTGCTGACCTGCTCTGAAAGCCTCATCCCTCCCCCAGACCCGTCCCCCCTGGCAGCACCAGATGCAGAAACGCTCTAAGAAAGTGGGTGCAAAGAGCTGGAGGGAGGGATGTGGGGCAGGGGGTGCAGCAGCCCAGGTCACCTGAAGTGCCTCCCCTCTGCATTTGGGGACTGGCTGTTGGAGCTGAGCCCCAGGGGCTCAGGGAAGGAAACCAAGGTCCTGGTGCCTGGTTCTGTTGAACCAACATCCACGGCGAGGGCAGAGGAAATAACAAGAGAGGTTTTTGCCCCAGGGCTGAGCAGGGTTTGTTGGGCTAATTTTATGGACTTCTGCCTTTGCTCAGCATGGCCTGAGCTCCTCCTGCATTTACCCAACCATCAGGTAGTTCTGAAAGGTGGGAGATGCCCCATCCCTGCCAACATTCCAGGTGAGGTTACAACCTGGTTTTGTTGAAGATGTCCCTGCTCATTGCAGGAGGGGTGGGCTAGATCTGACCTTTCAAGGTCCAACCCAAACCATCCAGTGATTCTGTGAACCCAGGGTTCTGGGCTGGACATTGCCCACAGCTGTTGGTCACCACCTTGCACATTTCTGGCCCAACACCCACTGGTCCCTCTCTCACACCTCCAACAGCTGAGGAGAGAAAAAAATGCTGACCTGAGGGCTGCTGAGTTCAGAGCCTGCATGGACACTTCTTAAGAGTCAACCATGAGTTGTCCAACAAATATGAGAAACATCTTCAAGCTTTAAATGCTGGCAAGATGACAAAGCAGATAGAGCAAGAGCCAAGCACTGAGCAAAGCAGAGCAGGGCTTGAACAGAAGGTGTCATCTCCATGTAATGCTTGCAATGGTGGGGAGAGCCTGGCCCAGGTTGTCCAGGGAAGCTGTGGCTGCCCCATCCCTGGGGGTGTTGAAGGGCAGGTTGGATGGGGCTTGGAGCAGCCTGGGCTGCTGGGAGGTGTCCCTGCCCATGCAGGGGTGGGACTGGATGGTGTTTAAGGTCCCTCAAACCCAACCAGTCTGTGAGTTTATGATCTGCTACTCCAGTGGCTTTGGTAGAGCCAGGCTTACTGAGGTGTTTACACATCAAATCCAACACCTTGTGAGAACATCACACCCTTTATATTTTTGGCTAATTAGGGGGCAGAAACCCCTCCATAGAGTCATGGACTGGTTTGGGTTGGAAGGCACCCTAAAGCTCATCTAGCTCCAACTCCCTGCCATGGGCTGGGCAGTTCCCACTGGACCAGGTTGCTCCAAGCCAGGAACAGCAAAAACAGCAGGTTGGAAAAGCATTTGCTGGAAAATTGAGGTCAGAAATGGGCAAAGCAGCCCCAGGCACCCACCAGTGATGGGCACAGCTGCCCAGGCACCCACCAGTGATGGGCACAGCTGCCCAGGCTCCCTGTCTGAGCTCCAGTCCTAATCCAAAGCTGCTTTCCATGCCAGCACAAAGATATGGATCTTTTCTACAAGTCTGATTCTACTCAGCTTGGCTCGGGCTCCAAGGCCAAGGTCAGGCTCCTTAGGACACTGTCCTCTGGAAACCAGGAATTCATTTCATCCCCTGGGTGTGCAGAAAGGAAAACAAGAGTGGGAACTAACCCCAGGAATAAAGCAGAAGAAGGAAACCAGTTCTGCCCCAGCAGCTCAAGCCAAGACACGACAGGTCCCGTGAGCGCCCCGGGCAGGGAGAGAGCAAAAGCAGCTCAGCAATTAAGAGACCTGGGGAGTATCATGGGATGTTCTCCTCCAGCCCTTAACGATTTCCACCCTTTCCCAGCCAACATTAAAATACACTTCAGGCAAAGCCATCTGTAAACAGCTGCTCCATGGGATAAACATTTCTCACAGGAGGCACAGAGGAGACTGAGCGACTCGTCAGCAGCAACTCGGGCTCCCCAGGGGTTTGGACAAGAACTCCCAGCTCGTGGCTGCCCATCTCCATGGGACAGGGAGCCTGGAGCTGGAGAAACAACTCCAGGGTCGGGCACAGAACCACTGTGTTTTCAAACTGCCCTTCAAATGATGTCCCTAAGGATTTATTCTGTCCTGGGATTCTGAGGGACTAAAACGTTCCTTACAACTCTGGCTACACAAGGTATGGAGAAGACAGAGAGATCAGACACAAATGGCACAGGACATCAGTGAGATATCACAGAAGAACAGATTGGTTTGGGTTGGAAGGACCTTAAAGCTCATCCAGTTCTAATCCCACCCCTGCATGGGCAGGGACACCTCCCAGCAGCCCAGGCTGCTCCAAGCCCCATCCAACCTGCCCTTCAACACCCCCAGGGATGGGGCAGCCACAGCTTCCCTGGGCAACCTGGGCCAGGCTCTCCCCACCCTCACAGCCCAGAATTTCTCCCTCCCATCTCAGCTCCAGCTCCCTCTGCCAGCTGGAAACCCTTCCCCCTGCTCCCATCCCTCCCTGCCCTTGTCCCAAGCCCCTCCCCAGCTTTCCTGGAGCCCCTTCAGGCCCTGGAAGCTGCTCTCAGCTCTCCCTGGAGCCTTCTCTTCTCCAGGCTGGACACCCCAACTCTCCCAGCCTGGCTCCAGAGAAAAAACCAGACGTTCTGGGTCTCGAGAGCACCATGATGACAAGCACAGCAAGAGAAAAGGAAAAGCACCTGAGGAGGAGGATGGGGCAGCCCATGGCACCATTCCATGCAGTGAGGAACTCCAAATACAGTCAACTCTAACCCCATGTTCTGCAGAAGTGCAGATCTTCCCACTCCTACACCCACCCCCAATTTCCATTCTCATGGCACTGAAGGATTCCCTAATTTGTGCTACTGGACTTTAGATAAAGCACCATCCTACCACAAAGCCCCTCAATGGAAGACAAACAGTTTCCTAACTAGAAAGAAGGAAGAAAAATGGGGTTTACAATTTCTCAAAATAGAAAATCCAAAATTCTGGTCAGGAAAAAAAGCCCAAACCAAAGTGAAATGGTGCCTTTTGCCCCGGGGCTGGGGCAGCCAGGGAGGCACCAAGGAATCCAAAAGTTCTTCCCAAGATTTAGAAGTTTCAGGAAGTTTCCCAGCAGGGACTGAGCTTCCAGCCCTCCCTGGGTCAGCTGCCTGTGGTGAAGAACAAACCCCTTTTCTGAGCAGCTTATTCCTGCAGCAAGTGAATTTATGTTCTCTTCCAGGTTCAGGAATTTGTTCCACCTTCTTTTCACTGGATTAAGGAGCTTTTCAGGTTCAGCAAATTTCTTCTGAGCAAAACACATCCTGAAGATCTGGATGTGTGGACGTGGATGGGTGTAGAGATGTCCCATGCAGCTCTGCTG